ATCTTAAAAATTGATAATTAACGTACCTTAATAATGAGTTGAGGTAACGATGTACAACTTATTTTCACTTTTCTGGCCTGATTTGATCGTGGTATGGCTGGCTGTAACGGGGGAGAGAAATTTACAAAAGGTTAAGACAATGTGCCGACATCTGGGTTTCGCAATATAACGAATTTCGATTTCTCCCCTTTCTGACCCCTGACCTTACCAATGCTCAGGTGGAATTTTCAACTGGTGGTCCTTAGACTTAAAGACAATTGCTATTGTGTGTATTTTGTGTTTGAATATTTTTATTATCAGGATAAAATGATATATACGTTAGGTGTGTAAATGTGATTTATTTGTGTTTAAACAAAACTGGAGTTTCAGCATTGTCTTATTGACGTTCGATCAGCCAAAAAATACAAAATCTCTCTCTCACTCTCTCTCTCTCTCTCTCTCTCTCTCTCTCTCTCTCTCTCTCTCCCTATCTCTACCTCACAATGTGCATATGTCATAATGTATAAATGTATTAATTTATATGTACATAATTTCAAATTTTATCACATATGATCTACTTCTTGATCATCTAATGCTATCCCCTAATATGTAATATGGATAGCTTAATGTATTTTCTTGTTAATTGTAAGAGAATAAATTTGCGAGAATTTTAAATAAAACTATATTCATTCATTCTTATTTCGTTCTCTCCTTTTTCTCTGTTCTGCTTCCAGTCTGCCTATTTGTTCGTCGGTCGGTCATTCTATTTTTATTCCGTCCTCTGTCTCGTCAGGACTTTAATTTATATTCTTTACCACTGGCAATCTATATTTTTTTCTTTATGTCCTTCATTATTACTCTCACCGTATTGTTTTGATTTTATTTTTATCATCTTCCTGTCCAACCCTCTCTCTCTCTCTCTCTCTCACTCTCTCTCACTCTCTCTCTCTCTCTCTCTCTCTCTCTCTCTCTCTCAGAATATATATGCATATAGGTATATTTCAGATCGGAATCCGAAAACAAGCTCGTAATTCATATTCGTTTTCTAGGATAATTCAACGTTCAATAAAAAATTATCTGATTGCTGAACATTCATCATTTTCACCTTCCTGATAGCCGTGATCGTATATTGGTAATTATCTTTTAATATTTCTTACAACTAAAAGAATTTTGAAGTTGACAGAATTCAATCCTTCTTTCGATTTTTTTAACGAGGGTTTGCAACAGCAGAGATCATATCGACCCTCAGGGTGCCGGTGTTTTTGAAAAAAAGCCCATTTGTAAGTATGTCGGGTTCGAATGCAGGGAGGCTGGATTCGAACCCGGGACCTTTACCTTACAGTGATGAGCGCCGTGTTAACGCCTAACCGTTGCGGCCACCGACGCCCCCTCTTTCGATATTATTGGTAGATGGTTTAGTACCTTGCTTTTTGCTATTACTCAGGTTCGACTCCTTTTTACGGCAATCAATTTTTTCAATGCAAAAATAAGATTATTCGTATTAATTCAAACTTAATCAATACTAAGTGCTAAAAATCCGCATTCTAAAAGGGCACACTGGCAGAATAACAAACGACAAATTGTAAGAGCCTCGTGTGTATTTTATAATTATAATTCGATTTTAAGATTAATTAGTAGTTGCATTATAATTGACAAAACTTTTGTTTTACATCTTTATCAGACACTGGAATTTGATCAACGTTTCCACGATTAACCCACGTCGGGACAAATTGGTAAGCTAACTCTTTAAGAGGCAATTAAAAGAGAGATAAAAAGTTAAAGCGTAATTCAAATTAATGACCTACTTCGACTTTAAAATGAAATAAGTGACGGGGGGATTTTGGGTCGAGCTCTAATGTCCTTTTCTTGTCTCCCCGTGCGCAAAAGACATTTAAACCTACAGAGGAAAAATAGTCTGTCTTCTTTCTTATTTAAAAAAATCAAAACGAGAGAGAAAAAAGTAGAAAAAATATGATCATTATGTCGGTTGAGATGGATTAAGAGATATCAGTGTAATTACGTATTTTGGTTATACATCTACTTTTTCTGCAGGTGGGAGTTTTAAATTTTTTTAAACTACAGCGGGTTTATCTCACAGGCATATCCTACGTCTTTTTTTTCTATAATATATATTTTTTTTTTAAAGTAACAATATATTCAATGATAGCTGAAAAACAAGTCAACTTCAAATAAACTAGAAATATTATTTCGATTGGAACACATCAACCTGCCATTAAATACCAATAAATCACTTTCGCAGTTACATAATAATATTTGAAAAAATTATTTTATGACCCAACTAATGATTTTAAACTTGTATTTTTATTGATGTGGTTGTTTCTCAATGCAAGGATACAGTAGTTCATACAAATTAGCAAGAAATTTAGCTAAGAAAAGGAATAAATTTTGAAAGTCTCTCTCTCTCTCTCTCTCTCTCTCTCTCTCTCTCTCTCTCTCTCNTAATATATATATATATTAAAAAATTTCAATCACACTTTCTGTTTAACTTTCATCTACTTGTTAATCAGGCATAATTTTTTCTACAGCATGATAACAAGTTTTTCAAATTCTGATTCTTTCTATTAGAGAAATTCATAACAAATGATCTACTTGTTGATCATGAAAAACTTTCACCTCCGGGATAGCCGTGATCGTATAGTGGTTAGTACCTTGCGTTGTGGCCGCAATAACCCAGGTTCGAATCCTGGTCACGGCAATTAATTTTTTTATTATTTTAAAAAACTATTTTATTAAATCGTAAATACAAATAGGATTTTCAAATAATTGGAAATATTTTTACGCTCGTCAAGTACCGTAGGTAGCTGTATGCTTATTATGGTTGCATTGTGACACCCTTTTACAATAGAAAAGTAGTTTTTAAACAAAAGATTGCCAAACCTTTGTTCCAAATTTCGTCTGTCATTTAAAAAATATACTTCAATGGTTTGTTTAATTTTTAATGAATTTGATCATTTTGGATAAGATTTCGGCTGGAGAAAATGTGGATAATATTGTCAATGGAAGGCTTTGTACTGTGATTTAATCGAACTGGAATGCTCACTGTTAGTCTTTTACCCTGATAACGCACGCAGCACCATGTACGGCAATCTATTTCAATTAAACCTCCGTGTGAATTTACAATCAGACTGCGTAGGTTGTGAATAATTGGAAAAGCAGCCTTACCTAGTGGGTGGGGAATTAAATTTGGCGTTAAAATCGAAGGACTAATGGTGTTATAAATTTTTCGTTGTGCTATTAGACAAAATTAAAATACTGTATCTGTTAAAAGATAGAAAGGAAAGAGAGAGATAGAGAGAGATAAAAAGAGATTAAATGAAAGTAAGTTAATAGCATGATGAGTCCAAATGCCAGACTAGAAGCGGAAAAATGAAAAAATACTGCGTAGAAAAAAGTGTGCATATGTTAGGAGAAGGATTTAAAAAGTAAAAGAATTAGAGAGAGAGAGAGAGAGAGAGAGAGAGAGAGAAAATAAGTTAAAAGCATGATGAGTCAAAATGCCAGACTAGAAGCCGAAAAAAGAAAAAAAAACATTGTGTAGAAAAAAATGTGCACATGCTATTAGAAGGTCTTAAAAAATGAAAGAATTAAAAATGTGCACATGCTATTAGAAGGTCTTAAAAAATGAAATAATTAGAGAGAGAGATTGATTAAAAGAAAATAAGTTAAAAGCATGATGAGTGAAAATGCCAGACTAAAAGCGGAAAAAAGAAAAAATACTGCCTAGAAAAAAGTGTGCATATGTTATGAGAAAGAATTAAAAAGTAAAAAAAAATAGAGAGAGAGAGAGAGAGAGAGAGAGAGAGAGAGAGAGAGAGAGAGAGAGAGAGAGAGAGAGAGAGAGAAAGAGAAAGAGAGGGTGAGTGCAGCTGCCAGACTAGAAGCGGAAAAATGAAAAAATACTGCGTAGAAAAAAGTGTGCATATGTTAGAAGGATTTAAAAAATAAAAGAATTAGAGAGNGATGGGTGAAAATGCCAGACTAAAAGCGGAAAAAAGAAAAAATACTGCCTAGAAAAAAGTGTGCATATGTTATGAGAAAGAATTAAAAAGTAAAAAAAAATAAAAATAGAGAGAGAGAGAGAGAGAGAGAGAGAGAGAGAGAGAGAGAGAGAGAGAGAGATAACGAAAATAAGTTAAAATCATGATGAGTCCAGCTGCCAGACTAGAAGCGGAAAAATGAAAAAATACTGCGTAGAAAAAAGTGTGCATATGTTAGAAGGATTTAAAAAATAAAAGAATTAGAGAGAGAGAGAGAGAGGGAAAATAAGTTAAAAGCGTGATGAGTCAAAATTCCAGACTAGAAGCCGAAAATAGAAAAAAAACATTGTGTAGAAAAAAATGTGCACATGCTATTAGAAGCTCTTAAAAAATGAAAGAATTAGAGAGAGAGGAGAGAGAGAGAGAGTGATTAAAAGAAAATAGGTTAAAAGCATGTTGAGTGAAAATGCCAGACTAGAAGCGGAAAAAAGAAAAAATACTACGTAGAAAAAAGTGTGCATACGTTATGAGAAGGAATTAAAAAGTAAAAAAAAAAATAGAGAGAGAGAGAAAGAGAGAGAGAGAGAGAGAGAGAGAGACAGACAGAGAAAGAGAGAGAGAGAGAGACAGATAAAGAAAATAAGTTAAAATCATGATGAGTCAAAATGCCAGACTAGAAGCTAGGTGAGAGTTTCAGAAAAAGAAATAAAGAGACAGATGCAGATTGACACAGGTGTATAGTATAAATTAAATTGATGGACAAGAAAGAGGACGAAATAAAAATGCAAAGCCCAACCAACAAAAGAAGAGGCATACTGAGTGCAAAATGTGGAAAGAGAGAGAGTGAGAGAGAGGGAGGGGAGAGAGAGAAAAAGTGAGTGAGTGAGAGAGAGAGAGAGAGAATGATAACGTTGCTTTTATATGTACTCTCATTGTAATTTCTAAGATAAAACTCATTGCTGATATTAATGAAGTTATATAACCAGTTTGAACCAAATTAATAAAAGCTTCTTTTTTTTTCAGAAAAGCAATTTTGAAAATACTCGACAACTATTTGAATTTCAACGCCGTTGACGATGGATTTGGAAACGCCATTCCACACATCAGGTAACACGAATTAACGCAATAAAATTATGTCGACAACGTAACGACATAAATTTCAACCGGCTTGGCAATTCATCTCATTCCGCAAATGGGGTCTGTTGCTGAGCTCATTATTCTATAATGATGACGAGATAAGAAACGAAATTAGGAGAAGTGGGTAGAGGAGGGGAAAAGGGTAATGAACAAAAACCAACAAAAACAGAAATTATAAATTAATGTTTAGTTAAATTTAAAAATTTAAATTAAAAATTATTGTTATTTAAATTTAACTTAAATTAAAAAAACAACTTTATACGTATCATATAAACAAACATACCAATTATAAATACTCAATAGGTTTTTATGTGACTCTTACATAATTTACTTAAAACAGAAATTAAAATAAAATAAAAGGAAGCGTGTTCAAAATATATAAAACTAAAATATAAAAACATCCATACACAGATTCTACTGCCCCTCGAGTGAAGAATGCAATCTTATGTGAAATGCGCGGAGTAAATTTTAGTTTATGCGTTTTTCAATTCATCTAAAAAGGCGCCCAGCTGAACAATTTGTGCAATTACACAGAAGACAAACACTTTGAGCCCTGAAGATGATCTCAATAAAGATCGAAACGTTAGCACGATAAAGAAAATGTTTTTCTAAAACCTACATCACACCAGACCGCATCTCACGATTTCTAAATAAATAAATTTGTGCAATTTATAATCTGAGACAATCTTTGCCATCAGCAATTTATAATCTTAAATATAATCAATGCATTTGCATATATCTGAATAAGTTCAAGAAATAATTAAAAAAGAAAATTGTAAAGTTCCTTCTGAGCTAAAAAAACGTAGGCTTCGGGAGTTTCGTAATTCTGTTATATGGATGAAAGCTGGACACTGGATCCTACTGGAAAAAAATAATAGAGGCATTTGAAATGTGTCTGTACAAGCGCATGGTCAAGAATTCTTGGGTGCAAAATGTTTATAATAAAAAGGTCCTGAGAAGGATAACGGAACTCCAGCAATGGACAATGCTGAAAGAGAGAAATCTTAATTATCTAAGAAACATTACATGCAGGGACCGTAACACAGCGGCTGACAGTGACTGTAACACCACCATCTTCCTTAAAAGTACTATTAAAACTACCTCTATTGGAAACATACATACAAGGAGAAGAACAGTATACAGACTCCAAAAATAAAAACAAATAAACTGGTTGGAAACTACACGTTCCGAGCATACGATAATAACGAACAAAATCAGACACCTATTTCTAGAAATAAGGATCTCAGAATGGGTTCATACAAAACAAAATGATAATTGATTAACTACAGAAGTGTCGGCAGTCGTATAAAATTCATGGTTAAAGTTCACTCAAAACTGGTAAACAGATAACTACATTTAGACAGACTTCTTACTGGCTTCTGAAAAATCACCTTCACATATATATTCCGTGTGTTTCATTTTTCATCGCAACAGCATTATTATTAATAGTGGATGGTGTTAGTGTTGAGTTGTAGTTATTGATTATTCTCTTAATTATGTGTTTAGGGTAGAGATTGTTATTGTTACACAATTTCGACTTCAACAATCCAAAAATATTATACACAGAACAAAACAAACATAAACGTAATTTTTTAGAAATGGTTTACATCAACAGAGATAAACACAGCATCAATTACAGAACAGTTACATGTAAACTCAGTCGCAGCTACGCCAATATCATTAATCAAATTCAATATAGATAACATACATATATCATTACATTTCATTCCACAAATCAAACATTTTTCACATAGTCCGACACCCATTGGTACAAATGGCGACTTTCAATATGATCCCAGATCTTTTGTAACATCCTGTAAAGTTTTAACGAGAAGATAAAGAGAAGATGTGAGGAGAAAACTAATTAAATTAAGCGCAAAACATGGACGTGCTGTTGACTAGCACTGACAAAACATACCTCATATGATCAGACAGCCAGGTAGCCCTAAAAGCATAAGCTTGTAAAAATAGACGAAATGCATCCAAAATCTCCAAAACCTGGGAAAATATAACAACTTCGCAATATCTTTAGTACGAGGTCACCAATGAGTTCTGGGGGAATGACCACACATCCGAATTCTTAGAAGATTCTGCAAGACGATAGACCCATAACCTATACTTCGGTAATAAGAGAGTAATAATTGAGTCCTTCTTCTCATAAGTCCACAAAAACAAACGAAGAATTGGGCGGACTCCAGACTTACAAGGCAGTAAATTCACAACTGGCAAATACATTGCTATAGTTAAATAGAGTAAAACTCAGGGAGAGATTGGGTTATATTCTGCTCGCTGGTATCTGAGAAAATACACCCTAAAAACCCTATTTGTAGATTATGCAATGAGTAGAAAGGAACTGCGGCCCATATAATCTTCAATTGGGAAGGAACCACTGAACGGAGGCAGAAAAATTGCTGCAATGATAGTCAATGACCTACTATTACCTTAAAAGGAGGATCGAGTCGATTAAACTGATCCAAGTACTGGGGAAAAATCAATAAGCCAGAAGGCTGCATATCGGGAATACAACCCCCCCTTATTCTTAGTATTCCCTATAATATGTGTTTTGTGTGATATGATAATATAAATTCCAGGCCCTGAAGATGATCTCAATAAAGACCGAAACGTTGACACGATAAAGAAAATGTTTTTCTGAAACCTACATCACACCAGACCGCATCTACGATTTCCGAATAATCATTAACTGAAATTTTTTAATATGAAGATAATAAATATCGATATGATAATCAAGTTTAGAGTTGGATTGAGTAAAATGTATTTTACAGTTTTTTCCATAAGTATGTCAATAATTCATCAGTATTCATCAGTAAGTATTCAAATAATTAACGAATTCCTTCGTAGAAAAAAAACGCATACCACGCTTTGATTCTGTCATGGAGAGATTAGTTCTTGCGCGAAATTTCATAAACGGCCTGTGCGAATGGATAAAGGGAAAAAAATAATGCAGGTTTCCCGTTCTGAATCTTTCACTTGGCAACTACTGACTTAAGACCATAAATAATTTAACAGGCCAAGAGGATTTGTCGGCTCAAAGCTATACGAGATTTTCCTTTAGTAAAGTTTCCCTGTTAAATTGGGCCACCGGTAAAAAGGGCAATGGGCCAAAAGTCTCTTTTTTAATACTTTTCCCTTGTTTTACTGGATAAACAAAAGTTTTATATCACTCGAGACGGTAAAACATGCAAAATCCATATTCATCTTTAGAAGAATTCCTGAAAAAAATTCCAACAAAATGTTACTAAAAATTTTTTTCTCCAATTTTTTCCTCAAGGAAATTGAATTTACGAGTAATATTTAGGAGTGAATTGTTTCGCAGTTACTAAAGTATCAAGGTATTCGGTTCCAAGGGCCTCAGGTGGCCTTTATGTAAGAGTGTTTCCCTCGGCTTCCACATCCTAGTTCCAAAAAGAAATTCAATCTTCCCTGGGAAATTGTCATAAACAAATGACAAAATACAAGTCAATTTGTCTTATTTTAAATACAAAATGGTTCTAGCATTTATTGTGTTTGGCTGCGCTATCTATTCCTGATAGTTAAATTACATTTATTTTATGCAATATTCCAAACAATATGAAATATGTCTTTGATTAAATATTATTTATTCGTTATAATACTTCTGAAAATTACAAAAGCAAATGTTTATAACAGAAAAAACAACATTACATCTTACAATTAATTAAGGTTTTCAGTTGAGATAAAAAAGTCAATGGCACGAGCGGGATTCGAACCCACGATCTTCTGCTAGATACGCCGCTGCTCTACCACTTGAGCTATCGTGACCCATCTCAACCGCACCTTTTGAATTTTGATGGGAAGTTAGTGTCCGAGTGGATCGAGGCCACAATAGATCAAATGGTAGAGCAGCGGCGTATCTAGCCGAAGATCGTGGGTTCGAATCCAATTAATTGTAATATTTAAAATGAAGTATACTTCACTAAAGCTCTCCGTGACCATTTCATTTGTCGCCGAGAATCAAATTATTTACACGACATTTGAAAAATGGCAAAAAGGAGGGAAAATTCAAAAGGTGCGGTTGAGATGGGAGGTTGGTGTCCGAGTGGATCGAGGTCACGATAGCTCAAGTGGTAGAGCAGCGGCGTATCAAGCCGAAGAACGTGCGTTCGAATCCCGCTCGTGCCATTGACTTTTTTATCTCAACTGAAAACCTTAATTAATTGTATTAATTGGTCAAGCGGACCACGAAACTAGTGAATTACATTTAAATAAAGTGATGATTGATATATTTTTTATTAAATATGATATGATTTCACCAGATTTTACATAGTATACTTCAGGTCCATGACCTATTTGAATTGCGTGCCGTCAGCTCGTATTTCAAAAACCCGAAACTCTATATTAAAAAACCATTTAAAAGCGATAAGGCTTAGATTATTAAATAAATGCTACTTATTAACTGGATTTATGGAAACGGTTCCGAGAGTTTTTCCATTGTCGGTTAGGAAAATATTTAAGAAATATTAACAAATAAGAATGACTTTTAGTACTTTCGAAGACATGTTAAAAGTAATACTTATTGACCGTTATAAATTAAATGGGTTGGCAATATTCATTTTGTAGAAATGGTCCCTACAACAGCGAGGAACTGATGAAGTAGCAGAAAAGTACAGGTCACACCTAAAATTGCTTCAGTTAGACAGGGTAAAATTCAGGGGTGTGATGGAGTTAACAATATACCATGACATTACTTTAAAAAAAAAAGTATGAGCTTCCATTAGTTACATAAAATTTATAAAACTAAAGCGGTATAGCTGTGTCACGTTCAGATTTAAATGAACCGCCATGCCCCTCCACCACTCAAACAGTGAAAGGAGTAGGGGCCAAGAAAGGGCTATTTTTTTCAAGTCCTAGAACAGATCCCTTTCTGGCTTGTGTGGGTAAACAGCTATTTTTGGTAAAAAGAAAAATTTGGTGTGCACACTATTCAAGTGATT